ATCAGTCTTAGATACTGCTCACCCAGATTTCACTCTACCTTCACAGAAAGAGAAGACTAAAAGCAATGCAAGATCATTCAAGCTACATGACAAGCTGTTTGCAAGGAACTACTCTGGGAAGCCATTATGGATTCCTGTGGTTGTCTGTAAGGTCACTGGACCATTGTCTTACCATGTTGAAACTATGGATGGTTTAGTGCTTAAAAGACATGCTGATCAGCTCAGAAAAAGGTACACTGAAGACTCTGAGCCAGATACCCTGCCGGAGGACAGTGATTGGGATGATGATTTCACTCCATTGATTCCTAACGTGCCTCCACCTCCTACTCCGCCTCCTTTGCCCCCACCGATTCGTCGATCGACTCGTTCAAGGATGACTACTGATCATGGGCCGTATGTATGTTAACTTAAGAGGGGAGGGGTGTTATATATTGATATATTATTTTGGTATTGATTCCTATTATTATTTTCTAAGGCATTTTGATTACAGTTATTTCTAGTATTATTATTATTGTTATTATGATTATTATTACTACTATTGTTATTACAATTATTATTATTACTATTATTAATTATTATTATTATTGCATTGCTGTATGATGTTATTTCTTTTCCTTCTAGCTGATGCTTATGATTTACTATGCTTATTAGTTCATGTATACTGATTCTGATTGTTGTGTAATGTTTTGTCATTGTGATGTAATATGATGTAATACTGTTTGTATATAAGTGTATGCTCTTTTCATTTTTGTCCGAAGAGATTTTAGCCTTTTTACAATAATCAATATTTACAAAATACGAAGGTCAAGCTCTCTCCATTCGGTCACTACACTATCAGATTTTGTCATTTGACAGATTCTTGACTTGATCGTTCTCCCTCCCCCTCTAGGGTTTGTTGCTGTTGTTAATAAGTCAATGAGTTCTAAATTCTCACAACTGGTGGACTTAGCTCAAGAGTTCCTCCCTCTCCTTCCTTGGGGGGTAGAGTTTGAAAAGGACAAGTTCCTACGTCCAGACTTTACTTCACTTGTTGTGTCGTTTGCCTCCAGTGGAATACCAGCTGGTATCAATATACCTAACTGTGAGTGGGTGTGGTTAGGGGTGTGGTTATGATCCTTACGTTAGATGATGAGATAAGACAGAATGAAGGATTTAAGAATGTGTCTTTGGGTAATGTATTGTCAGCTGCCTCACAGGATAAGAGGGTTACATTCCTTACAACAGAGGATCAGGTGAATTTATTTAACTATAGCACTTAAGAAATAATGCAACTAGCAAAGTTTAAAGAGAGGAGGTGGCGTACTCCAATTAATCTTTATGTAAAAAAACTCATTGTTAAGTAATGAGTGTGATCACATTATGAGAATGATTGATAGGCAAATATGAATTGCGCACTGTGTGCAATTGCACTGTGTTATGACTATGTGTCCTTTATTTTGCAACAGCTTATCTTATAGGGACACTATTTATACTGATAGATTGGACTGTCATGGAATAGTTTGTCCGGGCAAAAATTGTCCAGGTTACTATACGCAGTTAGTGCAGTTTAGATTAGGGTTGGTTTCGGGTTTAGTGTTTATATTTATAATACACGGGGAAGTATAGAGCTAGGACAATTTTTTGCCTTGGACAAAAATTTCATGACAGGACTATTTAATTTCTTCTTTCTCTGGTTAGGGTGTTTTTACTGATTTGAGAGGTAAAGCATTTGAAGTGCAGGTTGGATTGCATGAACTATTAGGACACGGATCAGGGAAACTGTTCAGTAAGGTAAGTCTCATTAATTCATTGTTATAGTTGATGGTATGAGTCTATAATAGGATAAGAATGGAGTCTTTAACTTTGAACAAGATGAAGTCATTAATCCTTTAACTGGAGATAAGGTTAGTTATATAGACATCTATATATAGTCATACATGTTTGCAGCTTTGCAAAATAACTGTTTACACAATACAAATGTTCATGCAATGCGAGAAGGGAAAAGTGTGTGCCACCACAATAATGAATATTGACTATTAATCATATTGACCATAAGAGTACAATATTCAATCATATTCACTGTTCCATAGTTTAGATTGTACTACAATGACTACTCTCTTGTACATGTACATTATAGATAAGGAGTTG